AACGCCCGCACTTATATCTCTATGATCTCATGGATATCAGTTCTCATAGTTACAGTTCACCTTAAAACAAGATCAGTTTGTCATTCGCGAACCATCGTTAACGTAGGAGAACCGCAATTGCAGCAACTACTTAACCCGACGGTTAAACACGCGCTGACTCTCACAGCTTGGATCTGTGACGCAACAGCGGCGGATCCGACGCTCCGCGGTCACATTCCCGGCTGCGGCCGCCAGCTGACGCCAGAGGGCGCGCGGGGCGCGGGAGCCTCGAGGCCAGACCGCGTGCCCCCCCCCCCTCCTGCCTCCCATGCCCCCCGCCGGTCGTTCTGGCGTCGTTCTGCCGCTCATTGCTGCGAACCGAGGGTCACGCAGAGCACGCGCCAATCTGGAGACGTAGCGGCGGTCAAGGCCGACCGCATCGCTCCACCGCTTTTGCATGCGGGTCGGCCGGCGGCGGCGCTGCAAGGAGCCTGCGCTGGCCGCATTTGCCCGCAGTAATGTCTATCATCGCACGACGAGCTAGGAACATCCAGGTACCTAACGTTTTGCTATGACATCGGGAGTTTTACGTGCATGGTGGCTCGCGTCAGGCAGGTCAGTTGTGCCGGACGTCTCTCGGTACGGTTCTGCATGATGGGCTGCATCAGGCAGATTGGCTGAGCCAGATGCCTGATAGTGCAGTCCTGCATGACGCTGTGCAGTCGCGTCTGATTCCTCCTCGTCCAGTTCAGCCCCGCGCGGTGCATGGCCGTCTTGGATTATCCCGGGGCGGGCTACTACCGGCGCGTCGTTCCAGGTCGTCCTCACTGACGGCGGCGGGTCGTCTGAGCGATCCACGTGATGTGGCTGCGTGCTACGCTCGCCTGCCGACCCAACAGCGACGCTCGGTCCGCGCGCTCCTCGGCCCGGCCCACGCCGCCGAGAACCTGGGAGGCCATGAAAGCCGCCGCCGTTCTCGAACTGGGCGTGGCCGGCAACCGGCATGGCATAAGCGGGCGCGAGGCTGGCAGAGTGCCAATATCTCTCTCAGAGCTTTTTTCTCCGAACTCACAAGGTTGCAGCTGATGTCACATCACAAAAAGGAAACTCGCTCGCCACTTCTCGCTTAGCTACATTATGTCACGTAAATTGTGTACGAATTCACTCCTTTGTGGAACGCCAGACGAACCAGCACTGCCAGGCTCGTCTCCATGCCGCCTGGGGTGCGCCGCAGATTGCGATGCAGCCGCATGGACCCACGCTATTTTGAAACACTACACTCTCCACCTGACCCTCCCAACTTCATGCCAGCCGCCATCCCACAGAATGTGCAATGCTGGATGCACCCTTACGGTGACCCCTCGAGAACTGGGTGAGCTCTGCCCACCGAATGTTCCCATCGTCCGTGTTTTGACCCGCTCTGGGAACGGCGGTGCGCCACGTGGGGGGCGCGTGCCGCTAGGCAAGCGCCTTATGCGGGCCGGCTGGAACGCTGCCCACCGGTGTTTGGGGCTCGTGCATATGGATCGGGGCTGGTCTGTGTGTCCAGATGGCGGGAGAGGGTGCTGACCGCCACGAGGGTCTGCCCCAGAGGCTGCCTCGGCCGCTTACACTATCAGCTTCGCCTGAGGCGGGTTAATGGTGACCCCCGACGATGCATGGTCGCTCGGTAGGAACGTGTCATCGATTTCCTGCTTCATTATGATTGATACCGCCGTCAGGGACTGTTATCAATGCGTGCTCCAAAGTTAGCTTACATTCGCCAATGGGTGTAAAATCGAAGCAGGACAAACACAACGGCCAGAGTGGTAGCATTTCCAGGTGTTCACCGGTTTGGTACATAAATCAAGGAAAAATGACTCAGTAAAATTGTCATCTCCTAAAATCGGCTCCGGCTGTTACCTAGACACAAAATGATGTGATCATAAAGCGTGCGTGCCATTACGCAATGCGCGCAAGTATGCCGGATGTTCGTGTCTAGGAATGTAAATAAAACACTGATAATGTTTGAGCAATCTGAAATTACTGTGCATATGCCGCCACTTTATTATGTAAGTTATCTTCATAACATGCTGTTGCTTCTCCTCCGTGCGACACCAGCCACCTGAACAACACCTGTGACCTCATAATCCCAGCTGACCCTGTGACTGACGAGAGTCGCTCCCCACAGGCGCGGCGTCGGACATCTGTCTGGAGTGTCGGTGCGCCTCCAACGCCATGCTCTGCTACCCCAAGTGCTGCTTCTTCTCGACGGAGGAGCCTTGATCGGAACGGCAGGTCACGACCCCGATCTGACCCGGTGACCTGGCGGGTGCAGGTCTGGCCACGGCCGCTGCTGACAGCCCACACAGCATCGCTGGCCGCCAGGGTGTTTGGTGTGTGGAGGACCGCAAACTTCAGTGTATACCAGTGTAAGGCGGTCAGTGTCGGCGTGAGATATGCATTCTGCACTGCTGCCCTGTACCAAAGAGCATGTAACGATACGCATAAAACGGGAAATGTTATGCTATACGGGCTGCGTGAATTGTCCACATAGTGCCAAGAAGGTGTTACAGCTTGTGAAATCTTGTTTAGACTGCGCGCAGTGGTGAGCGTCGTCTAATGGCTCACGTATTGCTCGGGTGGCACTTCATGGCAACTATTTATTTTATACCACATGAGATCAGATGTGGTACATTATCACACACATGCCGCTTGTTCAACAGAATATAAAACATGGATGTGCGTCTGCAGTTAGTACGTAATTACGATCCAGGCCCACGACTGAGTAGGTCTTCGCGTCAGCTGACCAGACATTGTGCAGCCTCAGTACCCCAGCGTCAGCGTCAGCTGACCAGACATTGTGCAGCCTCAGTGGCTCGGCTCGTTCAGGGCCACGACTGAGTGGGTTCTCGCGTCAGCTGACCAGACATTGTGCAGCCTCAGCGGCTCGGCTCGTTCAGAGCCCTGACTGAGTGGGTTCTCGCGTCAGCTGACCAGACATTGTGCAGCCTCAGTACCCCGGCTCGTTCAGGGCGCTGACTGAGTGGGTTCTCGTGTCAGCTGACCGGACATTGTGCAGCCTCAGTACCCCGGCTCGTTCAGAGCCCCTGACTGAGTGGGTTCTTGCGTCAGCTGACCAGACATTGTGCAGCCTCAGTACCCCCGGCTCGTTCAGAGCCCCTGACTGAGTAGGTTCTCGCGTCAGCTGACCAGACATTGTGCAGCTTCAGTACCCCGGCTCGGTCAGGGCCAGCCTGTGACGCTCTTAATAGGTTTTGCGGCAACTGGTCGTGCTGATATGCGGGTCTCAGCAAAAAGGAGCGCACCTCTTCGAAAGGTTGCTTTAGTATTCGTAGGGCATATGTGCATATCTGCATGGAAGACGTTTGATTACGCCGTGCATCTCTGTAACCTTGTAATGTCCCCGCAAGTTAACCGTTCCATTTCCAATTGCATGCGAAGAGTAAACATTTTTAATGCGAAAAGAGAACAATTAAAAGTGACTATAAGGTATGCGCTCCATGGACGTGATGATTTACTGCGTTTAAAGTAACTTCAGTTTCCTTCTCAAATTATGAGGAATAAAATGGATGAAAAATATCATCTTTATACGACAGGGCTAGCAGAAACGAGTACACTTGGAGGGAGAAGCGTTTATTGTCTACTGAAACCAGTTGACTACACAACAGTATGATATGGAGAGCGATCACTTCTCCCTACCCACTCATGCTCACATGTCAAAACAGAGCTAGGAATACGAGTGTGGGCGGTTACGACAGTTGAGGGCAAAGGTCCATCGCAACAGTCTATGACACAGCTGTTATTGCTTGTGCTATGGATATCTTGCACAGTACAATAAGGTCTACGAAATACGTAGTTTTGATTCTGTTTGGCTGTAGACGGCCCTTAGCTGAATCCAAGCATTACAAGAATTAAGCACCATTCATGAACTCATTGATGACGTACGCGATGCAGGGACATTAAAAGCATGTCTGATTCTCAATGCATCAAAATAATGGCGGGGGCAGGTTACAAAGAAGACATCTTTAAGAGGCGGACGTGTCAAATGAAGAAAAAGACACTACACTTCTCAAGGTCGCTTTGAGCTAGGAATGTAAGAACACAGTGATTTAGGTTTTCTTTACAGTGAGTAGCTCCATTGATACAGTAAGACTACACAACGAACTAAATAAATTACTGATGCAAATGAAACAATCAACACTGCCGAAGGCAAAACCCGCGACTCAATTTCATTGGCCCAGACTGCCGCCAAACGTGTGACCCGATTCATTATCCCTGAATCGACCGCTACGACTGGTCACACCGAGTCGTCGGCTCGGCGAGGGCCGTGGATTCGGAGCTGGCGGGGCCTCGCGCGCGCCACCTCGTGACCAAAGTCCTAAGCTCAGAGCGCAGGCGGCGGCGGCGGCGGCGGCCCGCGCCGAGATACGTCTGAGCTGACACCCCAGTGTCGTCCCCGCACACATCCGCCGACCGGCGCGCGGCCGTCGGTGCGCGACGCTGGCGCACTGGCAGCTTGAGCCGTACGAAAACGCGGCTGCGACACTTATGGAGTTGCACTGGAGTGGGCGGCGGCGCGCGGCGTCCGCCGGAGGCCCAGGCGCCCACCTCGCACGCGACGCGGCGACACGACTGGCGCCAAGAGATCGACCGTCCTAGAGACACCGCGCTAGTTTTGTACTGCCTGTACTAATAGGGAACTATTGCTGCGAGTGATCCATTTGGTGAACCTGTGAGTGGGTGAGAAGACTGGTGAGAATACTGCTCTTGTCGGCGGTGGCAACAACACACGCAGCGCTCCGCAACAAAACCCGTAGGATGAGGTTGGACGACTATGCACAACATGTACACAGGTACGTGCAAAAAATATACACAGGTACAAAACGGACCGGCCGCGGGGCCGGGCTCAGTCCGCGCCGCGGCCGATGCGGCGCCGCGGCGCCGCGGCAGGCGGCGGCGTCACACGGCGCGCGACCCCGCGCGGGTCGGCGCGACGCAATGTTTGATTTGAGGTGACGGAGACGCATCGGCGCGCGCGCGGGCGTCTCGCCGCCGACGCCGGCTGGTGCAGCTCCGCCGCGGGCGGAGAGCTGCTCCGCCTGTCGGCCGTTGTGGGGCCGGGGGGCTTCACGCGCTCGCCGCCTCCGGCACCGACTGGCCGCCCTCAGTGTATTCCATCTTCACGGCCGGCATGCTCAGGTCCTGCGGACGACGAACACCGCGTCACGCTCAGAACACGTGAGAACGGACGGACACGTAATCGGCCGCATACAGTGTGGGCTACACAGACATGAGCCAATCATGCACCAATGAGCACCATACGATTCAACACTTGTCGACTCCCCACAAAACCAGAAAAAAAACTGACAAAAATTCGTGCAGCTTTTGCAAGGGTTGACGTACCACAGCGACATCTACCATCGTACCTCCGCATCATTGTTTGGTTGCGCGGCCATGACGTCGCGACTGGCGCCACCGTCGCGAGAGTCCACCTCTGGGCTTCGCGGGTCCTCGCTGAACTCGTGCTGGCCGTGGGTGTCGCTCAGCAGACTGGCCACCGGCATCCGGATCTCGTGCTCGGGACTCCGGCTGCAGTCGGTTTACACGTGTGAGGGTCACGAACGTGTGGGGGTCACGCACATGTGAGGGTCACGAACGTGTGAGCGTCACCAACGCGTGAGGGTCACAAACGTGTGAGGGTCACAAACGTGTGAGGGTCACGAACGTGTGAGGGTCACGTACGTGTGAGGGTCACGAACGTGTGAGGGTCACGAACGTGTGAGGGTCACGAACGTGTGAGGGTCACGAACGTGTGAGGGTTACAAACGTGTGAGGGTCACGAACGTGTGAGGGTCACGAACGTGTGAGGGTCACGAACGTGTGAGGGTTACGAACGTGTGAGGGTCACGAACGTGTGAGGGTTACGAACGTGTGAGGGTTACGAACGTGTGAGGGTTACGAACTTGTGAGGGTTACGAACGTGTGAGGGTTACGAACGTGTGAGGGTTACGAACGTGTGAGGGTTACGAACGTGTGAGGGTCACGAACGTGTGAGGGTCACGAACGTGTGAGGGTCACGTACGTGTGAGGGTCACGTACGTGTGAGGGTTACGAACGTGAAAGGGCCACGAACGTGCGAGGGTCACGAACGTGTGAGGGTCACGTACGTGTGAGGGTTACGAACGTGTGAGGGCTACGAACGTGAAAGGGCCACGAACATGTGAGGGTCACGAACGTGTGAGGGTCACGTACGTGTGAGGGTCACGTACGTGTGAGGGTTACGAACGTGAAAGGGCCACGAACGTGTGAGGGTCACGAACGTGTGAGGGTTACGAACGTGTGAGGGTTACGAACGTGAAAGGGCCACGAACGTGTGAGGGTCACGACAGCTTCCAGGCCGCTGCAATGATACGCTGATCGTAATGAAGTAAGATCGTCATGATCAGATAGATAGATACGCACAAGATAGATACGTAGAAACGCACAGATTGAACATCTGTGCGCGTCTGTGGCCTTTTATCCAGCGATCGCGATCGTTTATTTGCCCGCTAAGCAAAGTATAGCAAACTAAGTATGGGGCTTATAGGTATAACCAACGGTTACACATTAGGCGATGACAGCACGCATAGGCTTATCATTGTAAACTGCATCCTAAATCTGTCAAACCCGGGAGATAGCCGAAACACTCCGCACCAAAACGCTGCGCGCAGACACGACCGAAAGACGAGCCGATACGAGTTACGCGGCGAACGAGGGTCACGTGGTGAAGGTGGGCGTCTGTGAAGACCCGGCGCCGGCCCGCTACCGGAGCAGGGCAGGCCACAGCCGCGGGGCAGTACCTGGGCGCCCTGTGCCGGGGCGGGCTGGGGGACCTCCGCTGCAGCCCCAGCAGAGTGGGTGCCTCGCGCTCTCTCATCTCTCGCAGGCGCTCAGCGGCGTTCGTCATGAACGGCAGGTTCGAGTCAACCAGGGCAGACTGAAACACGCCGGGTGGCGGTGAGCGGGGGTATCGGGGAGGGGTAGCGGACCTAGACGGAGGGCGGCCTTACGACGAGCCATCTCTTTGTTTACTCAGGACTCTCCAATATTACCGACAGTGAAAAATCTTTCGGTTACAAAAATGTTTTGTTTTTTTCTTGTACCACAAGACGCTTGCATTCGCGCTAGCATAATTGTAGAAACAACTGCGCTCAGCCCGACTCGTTCTCATCTTGTGCTGCAAGCCAAATCCACCGAAGTCAGCCGATGAGCGCGCCAGTGTGGCCTCACATGTGCAAGGCGCGCCACGTGGCGCGTGTGTTGCGCCGGCCTTGCTCACCTGCAGCCCAGCGCTGATGGTGTCCCCGTAGAGGGTGGGACTGCTGGACAGGGTGGGGCTGCGCGTCTGGCTGGAAAGGCGGGAGCACGTGGTCAGTGCGGTGAAGACAAGCAGCAAACATACTCGGAGAGGGCCAAATACTGACTAGTACCTCGTGGGAGTTTTGAATCGGTTGCATACAGCACACACGGCATTGACGAAGCAAGACATCTGTTTTTAGTGCTGCAGGCATTTCACCTACGCTTATGCCTTCATAGCGTCAGTCGCAATACGGGAGAATAACTTCAAAGCACACACAGTATTCGCATTACACCTCAATCACAAGTACATGTCATGCCCAGAACCAAATGAATCCGCCTAAAAGCTGTACAAAATGCTTGCGGAAGGAGCCGTTGTTACGCAGTCCGATGGTGACAGACGTTGAGGGTAGTAAACACAAAATGAGCTGAACAAGAACCGATAGCGGAATGATACCGCTGCTGAGCTACGGACGCAGCCACCTGGCTGGCATAGGGAGAAGGCGTGCACCTTAAACCACCAGGCACCAGCGTCAAACATCAGCTAAGCATGTGGTGTGATACATACCCAGCCGATCTCTGTGGACGTCGCTTGCAAAACTCCACCTCGTCCACGGTCCACACGGCGCCCTTTACGTTTTCCACTCGGGTGAAACACTTGTGGAGGGACAGGTTATGGCGAACAGCGTTCTGCAACAGCACATCAGCCGGTCAGACATTCTACCAACGAAGCGTTAGCCGCCGACTTTAACCAAAGATAAGATCAACAAACCGCGTAAAACCCTTCAAAGGTTGAAGGAGAACGAATGTTTGCCCATACCTTCGCTTGCACGTCACTGGACGGACCTTCCATCCAGCGGCATCCCGACAATGTCCCCGTGCGACCCGTCCCAGCTGCAGCAGCTGTGCTCATCGATGACATATTCACACGAAAGAGCTGAAGCCCGCAGGTCGCGCCGCGAACACAGCGCGGCAGCCCGTCACGTGCGGATCTCCTAGCGTGACGCGTGACGGACCTCGCCACGTCACGTCACCCTTACCTTCCAAGTGGCAGCGTTACGTCGGAAGTAGGCAAACGACGCCTGGAACCAGCTGTAGATTTCGTTCAGAGTCAGCTGCTTGTCGGGCGACTCGACGATGCCCTGAGGGAAGCAGCATCAGTCAGCGTTCAGACTGGGACGTGCAGACAGTCAGGGAGATGGTTTACCAGAGGAGAGCTTTCTGGCTGACTTACTGCGGCCTATGCAAGGGGCGCATCTACTTCTCAACAGGACTAGCGAATGCATCGGTCACTTAATTGCAGTCTCAACACAGCAGTTTGTGTTGCAAAGACCGCAGGCCGGACACGATAAGTGCAGGCATTATAGCAGCTGATCATGGGTGATGACGATCAGGGTCATGCGCACATGATACCCCCAGGGGTGTACCCCAAACGTATGGCATTTATACGTCCGTAACTAAATGTTGACGGCTGAAATTCACAGTAGGCACGTCAACCATGATCGAGAATATACGGTGTTACTTTACGACACAATATTCGGTTCGAAAGAAATGTTCCGAGTCGTACCTCCTCCAACTGCGAAACTCTGTGTGCCCTGTGCTGACTGAGACCCATCGAAATCACTTGCGCCAGTTCCCTGACTTTTGCTGCTTCATGAAAAATTACAAGCGATACCAATGCCTTGGGCTCTGACGCGGGCCTTGAGCCGGTCCACCGGCGGCAAACTGACCTGGCGAATGAGTGACGCGTACGTGAACGGCGGCCGCACGTCCGTCGTCCGGTAGAACTCCCTGTTCCTGGACAGCTCTGCAACGGACGGACGTCAAGTTAACGTCGCACGACCCACGACCGGAGGTAAGAGCTCGCGCTCCGACGGTGGGGAGAGGAAGGCGACGTGAAGGGGTGGAAGAGCAGGCGCTGCGCGGCAAATGCGACCCAAAACTTTTCATCGGGACTGAGCTTAAGGCTGGCAGCAAGAGATACTTAGATTGCGTCTGCCACATAAGATCAGGTTCGAGGGAGAAACACAATAGCTGCTATCTAACAATGCGTGTCGACTAACTTAATTCATTCTTCTGTGTCTTTTACATAAACGCTGTCCAAGTTCTCCAGAGTGTGAAAGTTTTGCGTGTTTGTCTGCTTTAGTTTTTTGCTCTCGGCAGTCTTATTTGCATAATCAAGCGCTCTCCTCACCATACGTCATCATGTCAGGTAAAGAAAGCAGAGCTCGCGTCCCAAAACCCAGATACAAATACCGCGATGAGCTCACAAGACATTATGGTACACCTCGAAAGAACACAAAGGTACTGGGGGTAGATACGTGTCCCTGGTGATCAACTTGCTAAGCCATTTTTCTACAGAGCAGCCTTCAATCCGGGTGATAAGGACGGTGGGACACGTCACCCTGAGTCGTGAGTCGTGAGTCATGAGTCGTGGTCACGGCCACTCACGACTTCGAGCGGATCAGTTCGGCCTCAGGCGCCGGCCTGACGCGGCCGTGCTGCCTCGGAGCTTACCTTCGGTGATGTCCTGCCCCGCCCTCTCCGCCACGCGTCGCCGCTGGGTCGGCGGCTCCTCGTACGGACCTGCGGCACGCGCCGGGTCGGGTCAGCCTCGATGGGGCACCGACCGGACGGCGGCACCTCCGCCGGGCCAGGTCACGCGCTCGACCGCCACAAACCGCCGGCACATGTCTCCAAAATCGACCGGCAACAGCAAAAGCAGCCCAAGCAAGTTATTCGGAGTTCTCCGGCTGTCGCCTCCCACGGGTTTCCATGATCCTGCCCCCCCCCCCCTCGCCCCCAGTCACTTCCCGGGGCGGCGGTGAAACTGCCGAAACAATCATCTTCCAGGGGCGAAACATTGGGTCAATCTAAGCGGAAGTTGGCGCTGCTGCTGCCGCACCTGCCGTATCGTGCTCTCCACCCATACCGGCGTCGCACCCACGGGAGTCAGACAGCGCGGTGTCCCGGACCCTCCCCAGAGCTGACAGTGGCCAGCATCGCCCCGGGCGCTGACCTGGTGTGAGGCTTTTGTCGGTGACGCGGCGCCGGCCGGGCGCCGCGCTCGCCACCGTCGGGCCCTGCATGATAGCAGAACGAAGGAACGGGTGGCCAGACAGCAGCTGGCTGGGAGGCGCCGCGGCCGGAAACACGGACGCCGACACCTTGGGCGGCAGCGCCGACACCTGGTGGGGTCGGGGAAGTGGGACGGTGAGCCGGGGGCAATGGGTGGCACGCACGGTGGCCGCTGCTGCGAGTGCATGGCGTTTCCCAGGTTGAAGTGCTGTTTACGGCACATCGGCGGGATAGACAGTGTCGCGTTCGAAAAGAGAATTGAAGCGCGGGAAATATTCGCGTACTGGCCATACCTAGACACAATTACAAACAGCGAAGTTAAACAGATATTTCGAACGTATTTTTCATCTTCAACTATTAAACAAATTTAGCGAAATGAAACGAGAAATCTAAATCACGAGTATCATTGCACTGAGAAGGCTTGGCCACGCCCACCGGAGATTGAACACTCCACGCGGGGGCCGTCGACTTACCGGCGTTTCGGCGGCTGGCTCTGCCATGCGCTCACGCGCCATGTGGAAGTGCGCCATCATAGCGGATAGGCGCGCCTTCTCCTTGGCCAGATTGTTCTCCATCTGCTGGACCACCTGAACTTGCACGCGCGCATGCGCCGCCGACCGGTCGTCCAGCACGTGCTCGGTGTTCAGGTGTCTGCGGCAGCGAGCGGCGACGTTGCTTTATTGGCAAGACGGGACGGCTAGACGGGACGGAACGGGACGGGACGAGACGAGACGAGACGAGACGAGACGAGACGAGACGAGACGAGACGAGACGAGACGAGACGAGACGAGACGAGACGGGACGGGACGGGACGGGACGGGACGGGACGGGACGGGACGGGACGGGACGGGACGGGACGGGACGGGACGGGACTGGATGGGACAGGACAGAATAGAACAGAACAGAACAGGACAAGACATGGCAGGACATAACTCGTTGCAACACAGCCTGTCATTGTGCTGACGTCTCAAGCAGCAAGCGTAAGCAGCGCTAGAAAAATGTCAAGACATCGTTTAAAGGAAATGCGGTTGTTGGTCGGTATGGACGCATGTAATATTCATTCAGAAGATACCACATCGGGCCAGCCTGGTACGGGAACTGCCTGTCCCCATGACGTGAAACGGCCGTAACAAATAATCGGGTGGGAGACGGACAATGGCCGATGGTTTGACACCATACCGCGAGACCACACTAGAGCGATGCCGTATTCATGAGTTCCCCCTGCCTCTACCGTGTCGCTGCCCTCCCTTCCTCTCCCTCAGCGCCGCGCCCCACCAGCACTCACTTGACGAAGGCGGCCATGTCCTCGCAGGGACTCTCGCAGCCCGGCCAGTTGCAGATGCCGTTTGAGAACAGCGGGCTGGTCTTGGCCGCCGCCTCCTCCTCGTCGACGGGCCGCTCCTCGTCGAGGCCGTTGCGCAGCTCGGCGGCGCGCCGGCCGTTGGCGAGCGGCGCCGGTGGCCCGCTGCCGGCCGGAGGCGAGCAGCTGGAGGCGGGCGGCGAGGGCGCCTCGGGGCGCCGGCCCGCGGGCGGGGGCGGCGGCGGCGGCGGCGGCGGCGGCGGCTGCTCCCAGGGCGGCGCGCCCGCCTCGCTGCTGGGAACGCCTGAGGGGACGGGTCAGGTTCGGTCAAGAGGTGAGGTCGGGCCAGGTGAGGAGCCAAGTTCAGATCGCGAGGTGGGGTCAGGGTCACGAGGGCAGGGGCAGATGGGACCAGGGCAAGAGACCGGGTCAGGGGAGAAGACGAGGTCATATGAGGGAGACGTGGTTAGGACAGAAACAGGGGCAGGACAGGAACGGGGCAGGAAGGAGACAGGGGAAGAACAGGAGTCGGGGTCAGGTCAGGAGCCTTACTCAGGCCAGGTCAGGGGATGAGGTGAGGTCACGACCCGAGGTCAGGTAGATACTGACATCACGCGAACTCAGGGGACAGTGCCGGTCGGGGCAGGAGGCTGGCCAGGTACGTGATCAGGTTAAGACCATGAGCAGGGGTTAGATCCGCTTGAGTACATCAGGAGAGGCCATCTCGGATCGGCACCGACTAACGCCAACGCGGACACCGGCGGCACGGCCTGAACTGTAGCCGGCGGCACGGCCTGAACTGCAGCCGGCGGCACGGCCTGAACTGCAGCCGGCGTCACGGCCTGAACTGCAGCCGGCGGCACGGCCTGAACTGCAGCCGGCGTCACGGCCTGAACTGCAGCCGGCGGCACGGTCTGAACTGCAGCCGGCGTCACAACCTGAACTGCAGCCGGCGGCACGGCCTGAACTGCAGCCGGCGGCACGGCCTCTCTCAAACGGTAATCAATCAAATCGGTGAAGCAACGGCAGATTAGCCTGACATTCTGACATTTCAGGTGCAAATGGAGGCGCGCTTAATTACGCCTTAACAAGCCCCACCGACACCGGGAACGGCAATACATCACCGGCCAACCGTCGTGAGCGGACGGCACCAATGCCGGATCGCGGCTCTGCCGTCAATGGCAGACAGGGACCAGGGACTTCATGGGCCTGACCGAGGCCTGACATTCGCGGCGCGGCGTCCGCCGAGCGCAGACACGAGGCCACGGACAGGCGACGCGCCGCTTCCACGCTGCGTTCTCAGACGGCGGCTGTGAGTACCATCCGTGAGAGGCGGACCGCCCATGACTGACCTGTCGGCGCCGCCGGCTGTCCCATGCCGGCCTGCTGCAGCAGGTAGCGCTGCTGGAGCAGCTGCAGCTGCTGCATTAGCTGCGACTGGTGCAGCGAGAGCGCCGCTGACTTGCTCTTGTCGTGCACGGCCTGAGGAGGGGCGAGAGGTCAGGGGTCAGGGGCGGCCCGGTCAGCAGGCGACGGTGCTGCCTGTTAGTGGTCGCTGGAGTGGGACAGAGACGTGTCAGGTGGTCGTCATCGCATCTATAGAGCGACATCAAGGAGCGGAGCATCCCTGCAGGCCGGTCAGGTGGACAAAAAGGCAAAGCGGTAAAGAGTTTTTGGTAGATGCAGATGCGGCCTTCGGGGGCCGTGTCGTGACATGAGTGCATGGCCGGATCAAGCACCGACGTCGTTACACTGTCGGCAGGTCACACTGCTCTGGGAGCCCGTGCCGCACCTGATTCTGTTGGTACATGATGAGCTGCAGCTGTTCTTGGAGCTGTCGAACGGCGTCCTCCAGCTGCTTTTTGTTTAGCTCCGCCAGCTGGTGATGCTAAGGGTCGCGACAGACACCACTGTCATAGCTGGCATGGCCATAATCCAAACAAATAACCAGCGTGAGCTACGCCCGAACAATACGTCCTCTCAGAAAGTATCAAAGTAAGTTGAGGTTCTAAACGGGTCCCTAATGTAATCCGAAAACAGCACCGATGTATGTTTTGCCCAGTTCATTTAGGTCATCTGTCAGGTAAATATTGGAGCGATGTAGCGCCACTGTCTGACACGCAGCTACCGGTTCATGGGAGTTCATATTTCACGTGTCTTCCCACGTGAAATGTTTGTCATGGATTTCACGACAGCGACGACAAATACTTCGTCGCACCTGTTGTTGCATGAGAAGTCCCTGCTGCTGGAAGAAGTTCTGGAACTGCGCAGGGCTGAGGTGTTGCTGTATGAGATGCTGCATGTGCTGTAGCCCGGGGGGCATCATCATCGGGGCTGCGCCGGAGCTGGAGTCATGACTCTTAATCGACAACGGCGTCGAGTGGTCCGTCTTGCTGCTGCTCACACGAATCACCGAGCCGGCCTGGAACGTGCAAGTTGTGCCAGGTCAGGGTCAACGGTCAGATCAATGCTTCGATGCATTTTGGACGCCGCTTGGCCATGAGAGTTGAATGCTGAAAACAGGGGCCACCGTTTTGAGGTCCAAATGGGAGAGTGCGTCCGTCATTCAATCCCACACCATACCCGGCAAGGATGCACTGATAGGTTCCCGCTCGGCAACGCTCCGTGTCGGTAACAGAGTACGCAGCACTTCTGACGTCACCAGTCCCAAAACAACATCAGCTTACAGCCCAGAACAGACCTGTACCGGCAGAGGGCACCCGTGACAAGGAAACATCGCGCGTCCGCGCCCACTCATGACGTCACAGCGAGCCGCATGGCGTTATCGCTGAACCGATACGAGCAACGACCAAACACAAACCGGCTCTGCTGACGGCCGGCGACAGCGCCTCTGTCCGCCCGCGCCGTCGGCTGGGTAAACAGCGGCCGGTGCCATGTGTGGAGAGGCCGACCGATATAGACTGTCCAGCCGCGATAACGCCCGGCGAGGAGGGTCACCTCACGCAGGCGAGCGCTCCCACAGCGGGGCAACAGTGTCCACCCGTGGCAGGTACTCTCGCCGTGTTATGCCGTTAGGCACGTGCTGAGACACTGGAACTCGTGGCCACGTGCGTCCGCGCCACATGGGCAGCGCAGACCCAGGCTCAACTCGCCAAGGGCTGCCGCCCGTGTCTGCCACGGGTCACGGTCACGGCCACGGTCAAGGTCACGTGCCCAGCGGCTCAGGCGCGGAAATTGGGCTCCAATTTCATAACGTCGGATCTCCTGTTGTGCAGGACCGGGGACAGCTGTTCAGACGCGAAGCGGCCTGCGGACCCGGGGCAGCCGTGCAGACCCGGACAACAGTGCAGACCGGGGACCGCCAGTGCAGACCCGGCCCGCCGTGCAGACCGGGGGCCGCCGTGCAGACCGGGGGCGGCCGTGCAGAGCCTGGCAGCGCCGCGCCGCTGCTCGTCGCACGCCTGTTTACCCCGAGCCTGTGTTGACGGGACGGAGTCGGCCGCCGCTCGCTCCAGCGGCGGTCAACGGCGCGCCGCGTCAACAGGCGCGCCGGCACGCACAAACAGCAGGCTGGCGCCGCGCCAGGGTCGCCGCTGGCGCCGCGGCCGGGCGGCGCCAGCACGTGGCGCCATGACCTGGGGTCACCGTGCCGCGGGCCTCGGCTGCCGTCGGACGGGAGGTGGAGCCTCGACGGTGCGCCGCGGACCGGTTCTTCAGACAGACTCCCGACATTTGCCGACATGTCGAACCCCAAGGGTGTTACATGGAGGTTGTTGAGTTTTAGTTGAGACTGGAGGAACGCTCAGTTGACCCGCGGGCTTCGCGGCTGGCTCAGTGAGTGTGCCGTGTGCAGATCAAAGAATGCCCGCTGCCGTCAGTTATATAATAATAATATGTGTTCGGAGACACTGCAGTGCAGACCGGATCAGTTTACCATGAACCGCCTGCCTTCAAAAACGATTTTCCCTGTTTCTATTCTGCATCCCTGCGATGCTTAAATGATTGAACAACATTCGAACTAGGCACATGTTTCGGCAGCTGCAGGACAATACTGCCTCTACGCTCCATTGGCGCTCGCACGCTACCACGGACGCACATTACACGCGCAGGTGCGCAGGTGTGCCGCCGGTGCAGTTCTGTCGGCTTTTCAAGTCAATTCGTGGATGCAGAAACATTGCTAAATGATGACAGACTTATCATGATTAATGACAGTGTAATATGCAAAACCCACGGCCAAAAGTGCAACGAAAAAAGTGCCGCTTAGTATGTCTCCGATTCGGATCTTCTCAAGTCGTAGTATGCGTGAATCACGACCTATTCCATGCAACTTTTAGTCAGCGAGCATTTGGCACGTGTTTCACATTCGATTCTCGACACACCAGGGGTTCGCCCACGCTCCAGACCTCTGTGGCGTTTAAAAGAGATATCGCCCCATATCCTCCCCGAACTCGCGCAGCTTCAACAGCTCAACATTCCTTTCAATCTTTATAGCGCAGCAAATATTTGCACTAGCACATATTTTCACCTTCAAAACTCAAAAGCATTGCCCACGGGCACCCGCTCTCACCTTCAGAACACGGCGGCTCAGGACACAGCAGCACGCCTTCACACTTAAGCAACGCCGGACTCGACTGCGCTCGCTGCACAACACTGACGCTTTCTACTCCGCAGCGGAGCTGTTTTGGGCCTCGTCCGACCTCGTCGGCGGTTGCCGCGTGTTTACAAAAAGGCCTGTTTACACGCGTGGCGCAGCCAGCCCGCTGTTTACTTGTTTATCTTGGCCGTGTGGCGGCAGCGTTGGGCACCGAGGCAGCGCTCCGGTCGCGGTGCACTACGCTGGCGTATTTGATCGATGCGTGGGTCGCAGTGCAGCCCTCGCGGTCGTGTGGCGTTTCTAGCCAGCTATACACCTGTGAGGCACTGCGTGCAATAAGTCGCAATACTCTGCTTGGTGCACTAAAAAGGCATGCATGCTCCTAAGGTTGAATGATGGAGAGAGAGACAGAGAAAGAGAGAGAGGGAGAAGAGAGAGAGAGAGAGAGAGAGAGAGATGAGAGAGAGAAAGAGAGAGAGAGAGAGGAGAGAGAGAGAGAGAGAGAGAGAGAGAGAGAAAGAAGTGAGTTATAGTATAGATATATATATATTATATATATAGCGATGAAATAGATAGCTACATAGATAGAAAATTTTGCAAATTCTTCTTGATCAGGTTTGTTACATCCCTGCTCTCAGCATTATATATGCATCGTTCTATTCCGGGCCTATATCATCGCTATAGATTCTATACTTATATTCATCACTCCTTCCATTCTAACGTTTCGAGATCTTATCTCATCTTCGGAGAAGACTAAATTGCACAAGAAATAAGTTTTGAGTTTTAAAGGACGAAAAAATTGTGCACTTCTGTTGGAAAACATCTTTTAGTACGGAGAACATAAATGAAGCACAACTAGTTGAAGTAAGACGGATTGCTATTTTCATCTTCATACATGTAAGAAACACTCATATTACAAACGTGCCTATTGAAAGAACCATATCCATCATCCTTGACCGCGTCTACAATCATCCTGAAATTCCTCCTCTCAAAATATCAAGGCGCCTCCTTGAACAACTACTAAAAGCCTGCACGTTGGAAGTTCCTTTCCGCGGGCCTGATGGCTGAAGTAGAAGTTAGGGACATTGACCTGATTTGTAGAAGTTAGGGACATTGACCAACTAGGACATCTCAAAAACACCTTTGAAGAACGGTCTGGCCTAAAATTCACAACAGAGCAAAGTGTGCAAAACGTAATACCCTTTCTTGACGTAGCTGTTGATGGACAAGGACAACAATTCAAAACAACTGTATACCGAAAACAGACTAACAACGGACGGTGCTTAAATGCTGACAGTGAGTGTCCTCGACGCTACAAAATTAGCGTCATAAGGTCCTTTCTTCGACGAGCATTTAAGCACTGCTCTGATTGGACAGGACTACATTCAGAATTGACACGAATCAAACAGATCCTGGTGAACAACGGTTTTTCAAATTCTGACATTGAAAACGAGACACAACGACATATGACAAGACACTTTGACAGCAAACCAAGGCAAGACATCCAACCGACCGTCAAACTGTACTATCAAAATCAAATGACATCTGCTCGCAAACAGGATGAAAAAGCTTTACGGGAAATTATCTCTCAACATGTTAAAGGCAAAAACGACCACAAAATAGACATTGTCATTTACTATTGTAATAAGAAGATATCAAACTTTCTTATGAGAAACAGCCCAGACAAACACGACAAACTGAAATGCACCAATGTAGTGTATCAATTCCAATGCAGCATCGAAGGCTGCAAACTTCGTCCCACACACTACATTGGTGTGACCACAACGACACTCTCACGACGCCTGACAATGCACTTACGTGACGGGGCACCCCTGGACCACATGCGACAGGAACACGACATGACATTGACACGACAACAACTGACAGACAACACTGACATTTTACGGACGTGCAGTGACAGAAGACGCCTTCAAATTTGGGAAAGCATATTCATTAACGAACTCTCTCCGGCCTTAAACAGACAGACAAATTCTTGCAGAACTCTTGAGCTACTAGGTGGTGGGCGGTGAGCACTTCCGATGTGATTGTGACAATAGTGTTCCCATTGTGTCTTTGTGATGTTCCCATTATGAGTGTTTCTTACATGTATGAAGATGAAAAAATATATATATATATACACACACACATATATATATATATATATATATATATATATATATATATATATATATATATATGTATAAATCTCTCTCTCTTTCCCTCTCTCTCTCTTTCTCTCTCCCTTTCTCTCTCTTTCTCTCTCTCTCCCTCTCTCTCTCTCTCTCTCTCTCTCTCTCTCTCTCTCTCTCTCTCTCTCTCTCTCTCTCTCTCTCTCTCTATATCTATATATCTATATCTATATTAAATAAGCACCTTCAAATGGTTTGAAAGCGCGATGGAAGATCCGAACGTATCCCGATATGTCATGTTGAAGATGGGAATACTCTCGTCAGGCAAACTGTGCGAATCGCTTCAGCACAGTCGTAAATCCGCTTTTACAGGACGACCTGCTCGATCTGACGAGGTCCGACGGATAGACTAGCCCCGTCAAATGCTCGGCAGCTCTGCCACGATACACCGCACGGGCCGACAGAGCCACACCGAAAGGATGTGATCCGGGCAATGGTACTCGCCAGTGGCGGGGATTCATCGGCCGATGGGTTTTCCTCGAGAAAATACGAGCTTCCAGCGAAGCCAATAACCTCAGTAACCACATATTGTGTAAAATATTACGCGCACGACGAGCACTTTTCCCCAGATAGCCGCATGCAGGCGGCGTTTCTCGTACATCAATGCGCATTTGGCGATTTCAATATGGGAGGCGATTTGCGAGGAACAAAGCGGACATAAAACCTGTAATATGGTCG